AGAGTTTAAGGAAAAAAAAGATATCTTTTACTGTGTGAATGGATGAATAAATTGTGTTACATCCAGACAGTGAAATACTATTGATCTCTAAAAAGAATTGAGTTGCTATACATGCATGATTCCAAACATGTGACAATTTAGAGAAAGCAAAATGACTTAGAGCTAAAAAGATGAGTGGTTATTAGGGGTCAGGAGGATAGAGAGATGAATAAGTGAAAATACTCTGCATTATATTATAATGGTGGATATATGTTGGTATACATTTGCCCAAATTCATAGAATGTGCAACATCAAGAGTAGAACCTAATAGAAAGAATAGACTCTGGTTTTAATCTTTGGCAGGTTGAAATCCAGTTTTTCCAGCACCATTTATTAAATAGGCTATCTACTGAAAGTGTAAATAAGGATTAAAATGATTAAAATGAATAATTCATAATTTGAAATAGGAAAATGTCCAAAGGTGTAGGGATGGTGGGAGGGGAAGGGGAAGGGGAAGAAAGGAAAGGAAAAATTACGAGAAAAGAAAAAAAATGGAAACAAAATCTATGTAAATAGGGAAGGGTGGAGGGGGTGAAGAGCGCACAGGTAATGGGGAAAAAAATAAGAACCAAGATACATCATGTACAGGTACAAGCACCCAATGATAAATGTAAACATATTGTATACCTAAAATGTACCAGTAAAAGAATTTTTAAAAAGTAAATAAATAAAAAAAGAATAGACTCTTGGTGGTAAGATGTGTCAATGTAGATTTCTTCAGTTTTCTCTGTTGTGCCAAGCAAGCCAGTAGATCACCAAACACTGGGACAAACGACAAAGTTAAAACCGAAGGGAGTTTATTCACGCACATAGACTCCACCCTCTAATACGAGTGAAGCCCCACAGCAGGGAACAGCACTGTTTTTATAGGTTGTTTAAATAGAGAAGTTCAAGGGAGGGGTCAACATGTTCTTAACCAGTTGCAAAATAATTTTTATAACTCAGCTATCTTGTCAGGTTAGGACATTTTGTGGTTACAGGGGGTCACCTGGCACCACCCATTTCTGAGAAGTGATGAAGCAAGTTTACAGAAGCAGAACGAGCGGTTACAAAAGACATCTTTACGGGAATTTCAGCACTCTGTAAGGGGAGGGGTATGAGGGGAGTTCACTCACAGGCCAAGATGGCATTTCTTAGGTTCACTTTGGTCTCACATTCTCAAATATAGTTCTCTGGTGGAAGATTTTGATAAAGAGGAAGTCTATCTATGGAACATGGAGTTAATGAGATATCTTACACCTCTCTCCCAATTTTGCTGGAAACTCAAAGCTGTTCTTAAAAAATAAAATCTTAAAACTTTTATATTTACCTTTTTGTCATAGACAAGGAAACTCAGAGAGGTTAAACAACTTATTCTAGAATCATCTAGCACCTAAGTGATGGAGCTGTATTTTGGGTTGTTAGGAGTGCTTGAAGGAGTTTAGTAAATAACTTCTTCCCTATTTAAGTTATAAATTGATACATAAAATAATGTAAATCCAGGTGGAGGCAAAACTGTCACTTTGCTATTGTTAATGTCTGTATTGCCAGGTGCAATTCGAAGTGAGGGCCTAAGTGCTTCTAATCAACTCTAGAAGGCAGTGTTGGATTAAGGAGGGCCTCCCAGGTGCATGGGGTTGGCTGCTTTGACCCCAGAGTCACACACCAGTGCATAGGATCCTTGAAAATAGTTGTGATCTCAGGAAGAAACATGAAGAAACTGGGCTGAGCACACCCAGAGTAATCAATTAGATGTGGCAGAGCAAGGGGGAAAATTAGGACAGTTGTTACCTAATTGAATTCCCTCCCTTTGTAGATCAAACCTGGTGAAGACACCTTCCTCCTAACACAGGCTACTTTTCCACCTATATTAAATTAACTTTTGGATCCCATCTGAGGCAAAAACAAAGGAGTTTAATAATTACTGGGATAATTCTCCTTAAGGGATCCTTCAGCTGTGTCCAGAAAACCCCAAAGTACATATCAGAAGAAACAATTGAGACAATTCTTTTTTTATTGATATGTTTACAAAACATACTGTTTACATTTGTTTTTAGAATTGATGTATTATATATGTGTATATATATATCATATCTTGATCATTTTTGATCCCCTTTCCCCTCCTCCCTCCCCTCCCTTCCCCATTCCTCTGTTTTCTTTCCCTCCCAAAATTCTGCTTGTATTTTACTCTTTATTTATGTTTTGGGCTTTTCATATAGGAGAAACCATGAAATATTTACCTTTTTGTGTCTGACTTATTTTACTTAACATTAGAGTCCCGAGATTCATCCATTTTCCAGAAAATACCACAGATTTATTCTTCTTTATGGTTGGATAAGATTCCATTTGTATATATACCACATTTTCTTTATGCATTTGTCCATTGATGGGCCTCTAGGCTGTTTCTATAGTTCAGCTATTGTAAATTGTACTGCTAGAAACAAGTGTACGTGTGTATCACAATAGGATGTTTTAAACTCTTTTGGGAATATATCAGGAGAGGTATAGCTGGGTTGAATTGAATTTCATTTTTTAGTTTTTTGAGGAATCTCCATACTGATTTTAATCAGTGGTTGCATTAGTTTACATTACCACCAACAATGTAGATAGGGAATGTGTGTGTGTGTGTGTGTGTGTGTGTGTGTGTGTGTGTTCTTGATGCTAGGCATTCTGATTGGAGTAAGATGGAATCTCAGTGTTGTTTTGATTTGCATTTCCCTTAGTACTTCTTTTGAGAAGTGTCTAGTCAGTTAATTTGTCAATTTTTGGATAGGGTTAATGGTTTTGGGGGCTTATTTTTTTTTAGTTTTTTTGTATGAACTATTCTTTTTTGTTTTTTTGTTTTTGTTTTGTTTTGGTACTGGGGATTGAACTCGGGACTTTGTGCTTGCAAAGCAGGCAGCAGAACCACTGAGCTAAATGGCTCTGTATGAACTATTCCTGATAATGGATAAGAACACTGGAAAAGGAACTGTGAGTGATTTGGGGCTTCCCCAACAAAGGGATAGAAGGAAAGCCCTAAGATTCTGAAGACTCAGATTCAATAAATGCATATTAACCACCTACTGTGGTCTAAGTGATTTCACGTATTATTTATTACCCAGGATAATCCTATGATATAGTTGTTCTTCCATTTTTACATGTAAAGACTCAAAACTCAGAGAGAAGGAAGTTGCCCTACATTACATAGTATGAAAGTGGAGGATTAAGGGTCCTGACTTCTAACTCATGAGTTCAAGTCTTGAGTTTTTGTCACTGTAACACTCAATTTTGTTAGAACTGAGGTGTGTGGTCCAATCATTTCTTTTTAAACAAATGCGCAAATCAAGGCTCATCATTGTTATGCGATTATGCAGCAAGAACACAGTTCATTCATGGCAAAGCCTGCAATGGAACCCAGGACTTAAAATCCCTTTCTTGTTCTTCTATGGACCATTGTGTGTTTAAGTCAGAGTATTTTTTTTTTGTATTTAATTCTACCATACATAATGAGTCCTATGTTCTTGGGCTAGGAATATCTTCCCTAGACCCTTTATAATTCAAGCTGCACAAAAATTAGGCTTTAATTTTCATTTTGTATGCATAGAAGTCCCCTAAATGTGGACTTCTTTTGGGCATCCAGAAAAAATGAACAGGAACCGTTTTGAGAGTGGGTAGAGAGCTACTTAGAGCATGCACACTTCTGGAAGATGATTAGCGGTTGCTGATGTCACTGGTTCCCTCCCTGTTCTCAAATGCAAACCTGTACAACAAAATGTAAACATGACAACAGAGAAGTTTCAAATTCAGGAAGCTACAGTGGTTGAGCTTTCAGAGACCAATGATCAATTCTCACCTCTGAGTACTGGAGTGAAGAACCTAAGGTCCTGAGAAGAAAGGGTGATTTTCTTCTGGGTATTTTCTGCAGTGCTGACTTCGCATTTCTGTTTCTTGGGCTGCATAAATGAAGGAATTCAAAATATGGGTGACCACCATCTACCTTAGTGTGAAGATGTTGTCTTTTCCATCTAAGTGGAATGATGGAGGAAATTTTAAAAACTATTAAAAAAATCTGAGTTCTTCAGTGAGATCTCAGTAGAGTGACAGTTATGCAGCGAAAATTGATAGAGTAGAGTACAAGATCCAAAATTTCTCCTGTAACTATTGAAAAATCCTCTAGAGGTTATCAGCATATATTCTTAGCAGCATCCCTGAAAGAGATGCAATAATGAAATTGCTAGGCTATATTTTTAAATAGCCCTAAGCATGGACTGTTAGCATAGTGCTGAAGAAATGTAACAGCAAAAGAAAACTCAACAAAAGCCCAGAATAATGTGCTTCAGGTACTCTTATCTTTGATCATATGGCTTGATTTGTAAGTCATTTCAGAATATATAACTAGAGAATTATGCTCAAGCAGAAGTCCTTTGGGGAGATATCAAGATCTTTGTGGGCTTTCACACTTCTATTCTCTAGCTTCTTTGCCTTGCCCATCATCGAATCAAGCTAGTCTTGAGAGAAATCATTGATTGGAGTGATATATATGTACAGAGTGAGAGAAGTAAGAAAAGAAAGAAAACTAATGATTGAGAGGACTATGTAGATTTCATGCCCACATAGGCATACCATAATCATTTAAGAGTATATGATTTGGAATCAGATATCTGGGTTCAAACTCTGGCTTTGTTACTAATTATCTATATAACTTTAGGCAAGTAATTAGCTTCTCTGAGCCTCTGACTTCTCTTTAGTATAATGAAAATAGTTTCCTCAAAGGAATATGTTTAATCTTGCTAAAGATAATAATATCTAAGATCAAGAACTACAACAAGAGATTATATTGGTACTCCCTTTGATGAGGTGAGGAAATTTCAACTCAGTGAAGTCATTTAATTCGCCTTAGGTTGGGAAACTAGTAAATAGCAGATCCAAGGTTTGAACTTGAGCACCAAACTAACTCTACAAATTAATTTTCCTGAGTTCCCAAAATGATGTCTTAGACTTTATGGAGATTGCAAGGCCTTACTGCATAGGAATTTCCCCAAAGCACTCTTTATGTCTTTATTTCTCAGGCTATAGATGAATGGGTTCAGCATGGGAGTCACCACAGCATACATCACCGCTGAAATTCTGTCCTTGCTTGCTGAATCACCAGTGGAATGAATGAAGTAAACTCTGATGGCAGACACGTAGAACAAGCAAACTGCTGAGAGATGGGAGCCACAGGTGGAGAAGGCTTTCCACTTCCCACTTGCTGATGGGACTCTCATGATGGTAGCCACAATGCGGATGTATGAAATGATGATTAGCAAGGGAATCAAGACAGTTAAGCCCCCTCCCCAGTACAAAAGGACATACTGGTTGGCATAAGTATTAGAACATGAGAGCTTCAACAAGGGAAGAAGTTCACAAAAGAAGTGAGGAATGATGTTATCCATGCAGAAGGATAACTGAGTCAGGAGAATGGTGTGGGTGAGAGAGTATGAATGTGCAAGGACTACAGACATTGTTACCAGCAGGATACAGCATCTAGAACTCATGACCAAGGTATAGTGAAGAGGATAGCAGATAGCCACAAGCCGGTCATATGCCATCACTGCTAGGAGGAAAACATCCATACCGATGAACCACAGGAAGAAATAGGTCTGGGTTAGGCATCCAACATAGGAGATGGTATGCCTGTGAGTTTGGATGTTCATCAGCATCCTGGGGACTGTGGTAGATGCTAAACATAAGTCAGTGAGGGAGAAGTTGGCCAGAAAGAAGTACATGGGGGTGTGGAGGTGTGGATCAGAACCAATTGCCAGGATGATGAGAATATTTCCAACCACAGTGACCAGGTAAATGATCAAGAAGATGCCAAAGAGGAGTGGCTGCTGGTTCTGGTGCTCAGAGAGGCTCAGGAGGAGGAATTCAGAGACACTGGTGTGGTTTTCTGGCTTCATGTTGTGGTGGAACTAAAGAATAAAATGGAGGTTGACACTTCAAAACATTTTTTGACCTAATATTGTTTTGATGGAAATAAAGACATAAAATACACCAGAATACTGATGGCTGTGCATTATCTCATTGAAACTTGAAATTGTCCTGTGAGGGAATCATTGTTACGTCCAAAGTGTTAGCTTCAAATCATTAGAACAAAAACATAAGATAATCAACTTAAAGAGAAAAGTTTAATTCTGGCTCATACTTGTGGAGGTTTCACTAAAACTTCCCACTAAGTCTCACCTCTTAAAGTTTCCACCACCTCCCAATAGAACAGAGCTGGGAACCAAACCTTTAACAGATGGGCCTTTGGGCAATTATTTCATGGAACATTCCAGCTCCAAACTAGAGCACTCATCTTACTGAGAAAGAAACTAAGTATCCTAGAAAGAAGCCCAGGTACAGTTAAAATCTTGGCAATTCTAACTTAGGGTTTGTGATCTTAACTTCTCTATTAATCTACCTCTAATGATGTCAATACCTCTAGTGTATTCACTCCACATTCATTGAGTGCTTATTGTGTGTCAATCCCTGCTCTAGGTACCAGAGAAATGGTAAAAAATACAGCAAAATTCCTTCCCTTATGTAGACAATATTCTAGTCACAGGAGTCATGTGACCAACAAGTATGAAAACAAGAAACGAAAATGAGATACAAAGTGAGCTGGCAGATTACTTAAAAAAAATTTTTTTTTGTACCAGGGATCGAACTCAGGACCTTGCACTTCAAGGCAGGTGGCAGAACCACTGAGCTAAGTCCCTGGCCAGATTACTTTAAATTGAAGGATCAGCAATACATTTGCTGTGGAGGAATGGGTAAAAGAGGCCACCCAAGTAAAGAATTGGTTGAAGGAACATTTTAGATGGAGGGAACAGTAAGAATCAACATAGGGTATGAGTGCATGTATGTGTTTAAGAAGAAGGAAGACAAGTATGACTAAATGAGGCTGGCAAATGAGGACAGGAAGCTGAAGAGGAGGCAGGAGAAAGGCATATATTGTCCTGGAGTACAGATTACAGAGTTTGGATTTTATTGTTATACAGTCAGACACATATAAGGTTGTGTGGGTAGTTAATCAGTAGATGATCATGATATGGAAAGATTATTCTGCTGCTTTTTGGAGAAGTATCACAAGGGCAAGATTGCAAGCTGGAAGACGAGTAAAGAAACACATAGAGGACCAGTCGAAGGGGGTGGATTTTGGCTATATTTGGAAAAGTTTAGTGACTTGTTTCAGGAACAGTAAGTGTTGGATCTGGGCCCCAGAGTAAAAGGCTTTTCATTCCTCCAACTGCACCCTGAGGGGTACAAATATTAAAATTTTCTAAAGCATGCAAGAAAGAATTATTTCCCTTTATCAACAGAGGCATAATTTCTAGCATACTTCTCAAGTGTCATAATACCTGGGACATCTTGGAAACATAGAAAGAATGAGAGAAGAGCTGCCAGAGATGGGATCATTCTGAGTTACTCCCAGGAGGGGAGAAAATGAAAAAGTAAAGACGATAGAGATGATTCACAGAAGCGGAGATACTATAAATATTATTTATATAGAGATTATATATCAATGAATTTCATCATTTGATCCATACCAACTAAGTGCAGGATATCTTTCCCCCACATTATCAGGCCAGAAAACGAGACAGAGGGGCTAAATGACTAGCCTAGGATCACACAGCTAAGAAGGGAATATGTTACCATTTAAATTAGGTCTTCTACCAAACCTGGAATTTAGTCCCTGGTACAGATTCACCTTCTGAGGCAGACAGACTTTCAATTTTCTCTAGGTACTGCAGATATTTGTTAACTACCTTGGGAATGTAGCCTTCAGGAACATCCTATTTTCTAGAATGCTACCCCGGAGGGCCTCCGGTGCCATGTGGGAAATTTTTCTTGTATTCAAATATTTATTCATTTCTTCTTTAATGCCAGGATGACTGTAGGCACAGGATACTTAAGGTTAATAAAAAAACATGGTCCTATTCTTACAGGCTAGTTGGGGAGACTGACAATAAATGATAGGACACACACAGTCAGAAAGTGTGATTATCATTGACAAGGAGAAATATGGGGATGCCATTGAGAAAGTCTAATTAGAGCATCTATTTAATTAGAGCTCATGGACAGCACCTCTGAGAAATTTAAATATAATTTGGGGCTTGAAATAGTAATTACCTATATTAAGAGTGAGAAGCAACAAGGGGAAGGATATACATTTCCCAGCACATGTGAAGGTCTTGGGGAAATAATGAGTCTGACCAATATGGAAAGCTCATTTTAGCTCAAGAAAGTGAACAAGATGATGAATTTCCTGAAATATGACCCAGTCCTTCTGGTCGCAGGTGATTGAAACACAGAGTCAGCTGAATCAAATGATGACAGTTGTATTGTCTTTTCAAAACTTGGAGTTTTGATACAGATAGTTTAAGGGTCTGAAGTTATAAATTCATGGGGAGTTGGGAAAAGAGGCAGTGTCCTGGCCTTCATAGCTTCAGGTCAACCTTTGAGATGTATCTGTAGAGGGAAAACTGAAACAAACTTGGGAGAAAAGAATAGTCAAGAGGTCTGACATGCCAGAAGACAACATAGCTGCCTCCTGATTTTCCAGTTCAACTTTGTTTTCTTGGGCTTTCCTCTCCCACCCCCATAACAAGAGATGGAACAGCTCATTGTTCAAGAGTGCAGACTTTGGGGTAAGATAGACCTGGGTATAAATCCTCCCTTGGTTGCTTATTAGCTAAGGGAAAAATTGCAAAGCATCTTAATGATCACAAAGCAATAACAACAACCACCAACAGCCAGAACAGTTAACATGCACTGACCGTTAGCATTGTGATAAAAGTGCTTTGCTTATTTATTTGGATTTTCATTGTTTTATAAGATAAGAAGGAGGAAACTGAGGTATAAAGAGGTAACATAAGTTGTTCAGTGTGACTGCACAAGTAAGCAGAAAAGTCCAGACTTGATCCCTGGTCTGTCTGATTCAGCACTTACCCAAGGGATCTCAACCAGTTTCAGATGCTGTTGAGCGGTGGGGTTCTGTATCCTCTTGGAAAATGGCAAATTCACATCACAGCCCCTTCTGGATACTCAGCCCTTTCCCCTTATGGAGTAGATATAAAATTCACAATTGTGGGCAAAAGTAGAGTAGATTTCTGGCATCACAATAAGTGGAACTAGAAAGCCCTGAGGTGGCTCATGTGGGAATATTTACCAGGTTTGGAAATCTCAGGATCCTTATTAGTGAGGGCACAGACTAATTGTATCTGACTCCCTAATGAGAGGAGTTGGACTGCTGTTTCCAAGTGGGATGTGGTTCCACTTTGTAGACTCTCAAAAAGTGTTTCTCTTGTCCATCACTTAGAGTCACTGTTCTGAGCTTGCTACTGTCACCCTATTGCTCCAGTCTGTATCTCAGATAGGAAAACTTGAGTAAATGTCCCAAAGGGAGACAGCAGAGAGGGGTTATCTATTCTTCATCTGATTTAGATCTACCTTAGCCTAAGTATATTGGCCAATATTTTAACTCTTCTCTGTTATTCTTCTTATAACATGCAATTAGAATGTCAACTGTAGAACAGAAAACTTTAAATTGAGTATAAATCAATTTATCAGTTTTATCTAACTTACTTTGCCCAACATTTTGTGAAATTCACCAATTTTTAGTGTGTATTGCATTATTAATTCTCATTCTGTTAGACTTTCATTATATAAATATATCAGAATTTTAAAAATCCATTATAATTTATATGGACATTTAGGTTTTATTCCAGTTTGGTCAGTTATGAATAGAGCTGCTGGGGATACTCTGTAATATTTTTTGGTAAGCACATATGCATAATTCTCTGGAGTGAAATTACATATGTCTGAATCAAATAATGGAAATTCTGGTCAAGGAGAATATATTAATAGATACTACCTGATTGCATTCCAGAGGGTTTTACCAATACATATTCTCATTTGTAGCAAAAGAAGGTTTTAGTTGCTCCAGATATTCAGCAGTACTTAGTCTTTTGAATGTATTTAATTAATTAATTTAGTTTTGTGGTGCTGGGAGTTGAACCCATGACCTCATGCATGGTAGGCAAATACTCTGCTACTGAGCTTCTCCCCCAAACCATTTTTAAAATTCTAACTACATTGGTGGGTGTGTAATAGTAGCTCCTGATGGTTTTAACTCGTATTTCTTTGATATCAATGGAATTTTAACTTCTTTTGCTATGTCTGTGTATCATTTTTATCTTCTTTTGTGAAGTAACTATTTAAACCCTAGCTGAATTCTTTCTATTGCACTTTCTCTCTTTTTCCCTATTGATTGAAGTGTGCTTGTCTATTCGGAATTTGATTTCTTTGCCAAAGAAAGAATCTTCTCTCACTTCACGAGTTGCCTTTTCACACTATCTAAATGGTATATTTTGATGAACAACAGTTCTTAAATTTGAGTTAATCTAATCTGTTTACTAGCTCCTTTATGGTTGATAACTTTTGTATTTTGTTTTTGGCTGGCCAGATATATATTCTTTGATATTATTTCCACAAAATGTTTGATTTTACCCTTTATATTTATGTCCATCATACTTATGGATGCTATTTAAGGGTAGAGGGGGAAAAAGAAGCCATAGGAATCGGAAAAAAAAACAAACAAGAACCAGAACCAAAACGGAAAAGATCACAATGAGAAAACTAAATAGGGGGAACACCTAAAATACACAAATAAAAAAACTAAAAAAAAAAAAATATAAATTGCAGACGCAAAAATAGACGCACAATACAACAGAAAACTAGACAAAAAACAATAAAAAAGGAAAAGAAAAGAAAAAACGAAGCAAAAAATAATAAATACACACAACAGACAATGAAAGGGAGCAAGACGTCAAAAAACAGAAAAAAGCTAAAACAAGGGGAAAAATATTCATCTCAGAAAATATCAGTCAGTTATTTGGAAAAAAAATAATCAAAACCAAAGACAAAGAAAAGCCAAAATACACCGTACAAAACCAAAACTCCCATCAAAAGCAAAGTGAGTACTCAGAACTAACTGACCAAAATATCCCAACCACACTCCACAGGCACGACCAATCACCAACAAACATTCAACTCCTGCAAAAAAAACATCACTACATGACACAACCCAACAAAATTAAGCAATAGATGACCTACCACACCAAACAAAACACAGCCAACACAACAGAATACAAACAAAACCATGAACACAAAAAGAAAAAAAATCCATCAATCATCAGTCTCTAAGGAGGAATCAAATGCATACACACACACCTGGATACGAAGCAACGAGGATGACAGAACATAGCAACTATTAAAAAAATGCAACAAAAAAAAGGAGGAAGGCAGCTATCTCGTAGGCAGACTGAATTCACTTCCGATGAATAAACAAAACCAAGATAGCTAGATCAAGCAGAACATAGAGCTAGATTTATGGAGAAAGGAACATACAGACCCCAACGAAAATAAAAAAAAAAGAGTAATAAAGAGAAGGCAAAAGAGGAAAAAGAAAGACAAAGAGAGCATCAACGAAGCCAGCAGACACAGAATAAAAGAACAAAATGAACACAACGAACAAAACCAATAAATACAAGTAACAAAAAAACAAAAAACAAAAAATAAAAAAAAAACAAAAAACAGAAAACACAAACGACAACCAGGAAAAAGAAGAAAGGATCAATTGTCCCTCCACCTTCCAACATAAAACACAAAGCACGCCCAAACAACATAGACGGGGGAAGCAAAAAAACAACAAAAAATAAAAAAGGACAACCGGAACAGGAAAAAAAGGTAACTGAAAAAACAAAAACAAAACGAAAAGGGCACGAATGATATGGAATTGAGAACTAAAACAGAAGAAAGAAAAACAACCAAACATAACGCAACCCAACCCAACGAAAAGAGCCAACCAAACCAGCAGTGTCTCTGAGTTCATCCTCCTGACACTCTCCTCTCGGCCTGAGGACCAAAAGCCACTCTTTATTCTCTTCCTCACCATTTACCTGCTCACCGTATCAGGAAACCTGATCATCATCCTGGCCATCACTCTGATGCCCGTCTCCAGACCCCCATGTATTTCTTCTTAAGTTTCTTGTCTTTCACTGACATTTGCTTCACAACGACCATCGTCCCCAAGATGCTAGTGAACTTCCTGTCAGAAAGGAAGACCATCTCCTATGCTGGCTGGCTGACACAAATGTGTTTCACCTATGCCTTCGGCAACAGTGGCTGCCTTCTGGCAGTCATGGCCTCTGACTGCTATGTGGCCATCTGTGACCCCTTCCACTCCGTCACCTCGATGAGCCACCGCCTCTGTGTCCTGCTGGTGGCCTTCTCCCACTCGGTTCCTCACCTCTGCTCTCTCCTGCACACACTTCTGCTGAATCTTCTCACCTTCTGTGACCTCAGTCCCCAAATGAAGTTGTCCTGCTCCCCCACATTTGTCAATGAAATTGTAGTAATAACAGAAGGAGCCATTGTCTTGGTGACTCCCTTTCTATGCATCGCTGTGTCTTATATCCGAATCCTTGTCACAGTTCTAAAGATTCCTTCTGCTTCTGGGAAGCACAAGGCCTTCTCTACCTGTGGTTCTCACTTCACCATGGTTGCACTCTTTTATGGAAGCATCTTCTATGTGTATTTGCAGCCCGTGTCCACTTACACTGTCAAGGACCACATAGCAACAATAGTCTACACAGTTTTGTCCTCCATGTTAAATCCTTTCATCTACAGCCTGAGAAACAAAGACCTGAAACAGGCCTTGAGGAAGCTCATCAGCAGGTGGAGCTCCTAGGCAGCACCCTCTTGACAAACTCACAGGTGGAATGTGCTTCCCTCGGACCTGGTTACCACTAGTTCTGGTGAACAATCAAGCTGTCAGAGGTAGGTGTGTTAAATCCACGTGAGACAAGACTACTGCGAGCACTCACGTCCACTGATGATGGTCTGTCAGTCGGCCTCGTATCTACTTAAATCATGGCACTCTTACTACCTATTCCTTCTCTTTCTTAGGATGAGTCATCACATTCTCCATGCTTCTACCTTCCAAATACTGCTTGAAAATAACCTTTTCCCACAAACATTTCCTGAGAAAATTTGTCTTTGCTTATCAAGATTGATATTCGTAATTCTTCATATTTGAATATATCATTAAAAAAAGTTACACAATTTACGTCTGTTGAATGTTTTATTAACATTTGAAGAGGAAAAGAATGGAGGAAGAGATACAGTGAAAAGAAGACTATTATTTCATTAATTTCCTCATTTTGATGATTTTTAGAACCATATTTTCTTTTTCAAATGTTTTCTTCTTTAAGTCTAAGATGTTAGTTTTGCTCTTCCTCTTTCTTTGTATCCTCCCTATATTATACTACTTTTTTTTCCTTTAAATTTTCTCATACTTTACATAAAATTTTTAAAAATGCTAATATAACTAACTAGGACTGATAAAAGGAAAATTATCCATTCTACACAAGGGATGTTGGAAACTTCTTTCCTCTTAAACTTTCCTTTGCTTCTAAACTGTTTGTTTAAAGTAAATTAGTTAATAATTTATTCTAGAAACTCTTACTCCTCGGATATTAGTCTCTAGAAATATTATTATAATTCTATATTGACTAATATTTTAAATGTGTGTTGAATATTGAGATATGTATGTATACATTTAAAGATCCTACATGAATCCCAATTTATAATAGGTAAAAATGGCAACAGTCTAAAATGTTACCAACCAAAAACTGCAGAAAGCTATTATAATTTATCTTATAGATTGTTACCGTATACATCAGGTTCAAAGGATCAAATATATCTCCATTGCCATCTTAAAAATACCAATAAGTAGCAACTTCAAGATGTGACAAATAAGAACTAAGATGTATCATGTTGTGCAAAAAAAAAATGTGAACAGAATGTAAATGTAGGACTTCGTTACATTAAAAACCATGATGATTGTAATCATTATGTGCTACAAAAATATGCTAATTAAAAGCTGAATAAAATAATAAATAAAATTTAAAAATATTATTAAAGTGCACATGTACCATTTTTCTGTAGTGACTGTAATCATTATGTATGGCAAACATGTACTAATAAAAATAAAATAATTCCTAAAATATGTACATGTGTGTGTAGTCACCATGTAAGAATGAAAGTGAAAGGGAGATTAGAGAAGAGAACAATTTTATATCAAAGTTATTAAGCATTATTTCTAATTGTACTTGTGCAGTATTAACAGCTATATTACCCGTTAAATGTGGGGTGAAGTCCACTTAGAAAATGTTAAACTGCTTTTCCAGACATGGTTGTAGCATATTTTCAGTTAGTGTGTATATGTTAATGTATAATTGGTAGAACAAAGTTACATTTTAAAAACTGCTACTTCTATAAATATTCCCCCTTTTCTCAGATTCTGTGGGTTTTGTGCATAGTTTTTACAAATCTTGGATTTACCAGACTGTCTTTTCACTGTGGGTTTTGTAGAAGTTGAGCATTTTTATGGTTGATAAAGTGTTACTTCTATACAAAAAAGAGCAATTTTACTTCTTTATACACATATATAATGTGTAGATTTGTTCAGATAAGTATTTATTGCTTATGAGTTTAAAACTATTAATAAATAAGATGGCAATGCAGTGATGGAAAGCTTTGAAAATTACCAGCTGAACAGACACTTTCTGTGTGTTGTTTGTCTGAAAATGTATTATTTAGCACTTTAACTTGGGTAGGTAAGTATAACATTCGAGGTTCCTAAGCCTTCATTTGGATATTTTAAAAATATACCTATATTACCTTACTGCACCATTGTTTTCAGTGAGAAATAGGAGGACATTTTAATTTGTGTTCTTTTGTAATGGCTCATCCTCTGTAACTATTTTACACCAAACATGATTAAGTTTCTACTACTTACTGGGAGAGCAGACCTGGATTCCACCTATTATACCCTAAGTCTGAGTTCAGGAGCCAAGGTGTAGTTCTTGACTCTGCCTTTTCCTTCAAGGGTCAACATTTAACAAAAAGGTAGGAAAATGACTTGTTAAAAAGAGAGAGAGAAAAGAGAAATCATACAACAAACAAACAAACAAAAAACTGGTCAGTTTTCTTAAACTTGGTACCAAATGAAAAAAAATTATGATCTATAAAATGAATATAACAGAACTTCACCAAAATCCAAAAAGTACTTGTAAAAGATCCTGTTAAGGAAACAAAAAGAGAACCTATAGATAGGGAGAAAACATTTGTACATCACTATTTGACAAAGGACCCGGCGAAAAATAATATAGGTATAAATATAACAAAATATGCACAAGATCTATATGGAAAAAAACCTCAAAACTCAAATAAAAGACAATAGGACAAACTATGTAAGTGAGGGTATAGAGAACTCTTAAAACTCAATAGTAAGAAAGTAAACAATCCAATGGGAAAATGAGCAGAAAACACAGAGACATTTCACCAAAGAAGATACATAGGTGGCAGATGAGAACATAAAAGATATTAAACATCATTAGCTATAGTACTTGGGAAATGCTAAATAAAATGACAATGAGATTTGACTACATAACTATCAAAATGGCTAAAATAACAAATAATGACAACACCAAATGCTTATAAGGATGCAGAGAGATAGCTTAGTGGGAGTGCAGAATAATATAGCCACTGAAAAAACAATTTAGAAGTTTCTTTAAAACTAAAGTTGCAACTAAATTATGATCCAGAAGTTGTATTTATTCCAAAGACATGAAAACTTAATGATTACACAAAACATGAACAAACATCTAAATTTTTGCAGTTTTTTGGAAATAGAAAACAGTTGAAAAAACTCATCTTTCTCAACAAGTGAATGATTTAACAAACCATGGCAATCTATACCATGGAATACTATTCAGCACCTTTTACTTTTTAGTACTGTGGATTTTAGGACCTTTGTATCTCCAGTGCTATGTCTCCCTGTCCTTTTAAATTTTTGTTTTTGAAGGACCCTAGTTAGCAAGACAGACTCCATATTGCTGCTTGACCCACCTGCCTGCCCTTTAGATGAACTCAGAAGGAGGAAGCTTAGAAACCTCCTCCCCTTAGAGAGTCTCTTAGAAACAGCAATTAATCAACTATTGATTTACAAATGTTCTAACAGGAGGACTTTCCGCTTCTGCACCTTTTGCTTGCTTTACTAGTTCTATCCCATAGGTGGGCCTAGAAAGTGTTGGCTTCAAAGGTATATAAAACATGTTTGTCCCCCCTCCCCCCCGCGCCCTCCAGGTCGATGCTCGAGTCCCATGCTCGGCTCGGGTCCCGGCCGGTAATAAACTCCTGTGTGGATTTAATATTGGTCTCTGGTTGGTTCTTTCTCGCTGGGTACAACAGTTTTGAGGCAAGGTCTTGTTAAGTTTCCCAGGCTGGGCTTGAATTTGTTATCCTCTTGCTTCAGGCTTTCAGAGTACTGGGATTACAGGAGTGAGCTAGAAGACCTGGAAAAAGAATTAACATGTGTCATGTACTTGTATCAATTTCTTTAATGATTATCATCATTATATGCTGCAAACATGTAGCAATAAAAATAAAAATTAAAAAGAAAACAAATATCAAAGACAAAGAAAAAAGAAATGAAATATTGATACATACAACTTGGGTGAATTTCTACAGGATTATGCTGAGTGAAAAAACTGTAATCTCTAAAAGTTTACATAGTATATAATTTCTTTCATATAACACTCTTGAAATTGCAAAATTATAAAAATAGGAAACAGATTAGTTGTTGCCAGGATTTAAGGAGAAGGTTGAGGCAAGAGTGAAATGGATGTGATTATAAATGACCAATATTAGAGAGACTAATGATTATGCAAATGTTCTATATCTTGACTGTATAAATGCCACTAACCAGCTACTATACTGTAGTATACTTTTGCAAAGAGTTATTGTTGGAAAAAACTGGATAAAGAGTTCATGAAATCTCTCTGTTTTATTTAGTATAACTGCATATAATCCTATAGTTATCTCAAAATAAAAAATCTAATTAAAGGTGTACATCCTATTGCACAACAAAAAACTAGGTGCAATGGTTATAAAATGTAAAATAAGATACAAAATTTCCAAGTCATCAGAGGAAGAATGGAACAAATAAGAGAGGGAAAAGTTTAAAGAAACACAGAAAGAATACATCATATAGAGGAAAAAGAAAATAATAATAAAAATCAACTACAAATAAAATGATTACATAAATCATAAGAATGTATTTATGAAAAATAGAGTGTAAACATTAATTTATATGACAGAGTTTACCCTAATGGCAAATTAGATAATTTAGTCCAATCTTCTCAATGAGAATAACTAAAAACCTTGGATAAAATACTTAAAAAATATGCTCTTGAAGGTATCACAAGCGCAATGAGGAATTAGAAAAATTTTGTAGACATTGTGAAGTCAAAGGAGTAAGTCCAGCACTCAGAGCTATGTTAGCCCTGATGGAATAATGTGAATGCTTTAAAAATGTATCAATTGAGGTATAGATCACATAAAAATAAAAACAGTGAACCCATCCAAAAGAGTTATAGGTAAAGCACCAGTTGATTTTAAGCTTCCATTTAGGAAAAGAAGAAAAATCTAAAATCAATAATCCAAGTTTCCACCATAGAAAACTAGAAAAATAAGAGAAAATCAAATCAGAGTAGAGAAAAAAAGAACCAGAACAGAAATCTATGAAATTGAGAACAAGAAATCAATAGAAAAAGCAACATGACCAAAAGCTGGATCAAGAGATCAATAAAATTGATAAGCCTCTAGCATGGCTAAAAAAGAAAA